AAAGGCAGGGAAGCAACAGACACGCTTATCTGCGGACGTCTCCAGGGCCAGATAGCTGGATCCAGAAGAACCCATGACTGGGCCAGGAGGGAGCAAGGGACGCTCCCATGGTAAAGATGATCTCCCAGCAGAGATGCTGTGGGGGTTCCTTCTGGGAAGAGTGGGATTTTACTCCAGTAGGAAGGGATGGGATGGCTGTCCTGGTATGAGGACGAGGAGGATTACCAGAGAGTCTGGGCATGATCAAAGGTGCCGGTGTGTGATGTGGGGCTTAGTAAGACCGTTTATCCATTGATCTTAATGATTGTCTGTCTGTGCTGGGGTGAGAAATGAACTGTATGTGTTTGGGACTTGTGTTTTGCATCATTTGCACAATGTCTCATAATAAATCAGCCCTAAGGAGGGTGTGACAGGCGTGCATATCCTGCACTGGACAAGAGAGGTTTAACCCCACACTATGGGCAGCGGAAGTCCCGTTCCTCAGACCGTGCCGGGCATGCTCCAACTACTGCCTCAGTATAAAAGGGAGCAGCCCAGTTCATTCTAGGCGTCCAGGGGTGGTATGTAGTGGTCCCAGGTCACTGGGTGGGGGCTCAAGCCGGTTTTGCATTGCGTTATTGAAACGGAACCCCTAGATACAGAACCCGGCCCTTGTTGCTGCCAACTTTGATGGGCAGAAGGGTTACAGAAGTGAAACATGTATCTTCATACAGAGGCAAGAAGGGGAACTCCCATGAGTTTATTCTTGCTTATAAAAGGCACTTTGTTGTTATAAATATTTCACTGTGTTTTTCCTCAACTCACAATTCCTCAGTTTCTAAAAGTGTGATGATAATGGAACACAGAATTGCCCTATGCTGGTTAAAACCAATGATCCATCTAGTCTGATGTCATGTTTCTACAAATTTTGGGCTCTGTCTATCTAGAGAGAATTGCTTTTGTCTAGTTACATTCTTTCAAACCTTAACTTAGAAACTAGTTTAGCACCACTCTTGCAAATGAGGCCATTGCTATTTAAGACATTGTGAGCGATTGAGAATTATTATTTATGATTTTTGGGAGTCCAAAGAAGTGGTAGGTGTTTTATGAAACAACAACTTATAATCTAGATTTGATGTGATACAAATGAGGGTCAAAAGCAAAGGTGGAGAGGGGACAATCTCTGGGGCAGGGACAGTCTTTTTTCCCCAGCGTGTACAGTGCCTACCACAATGGGTTTCTGCTCCATGACTGAGGCTCTTAGGCATTACCATAGTAGACATAACAAATAATTATAACAAGCAAGACAACAGTAAGATCCTGTAGTTATGCAGAAATGTATTTACACGTCTTGATGGTCCCTCTGAAAATTGTTTTGTTCGGTTACTTTTTGTGTTACAAGTTTCCCCTGTTTTATATGAATCAATAATTTTCATATAAGAATCCACATTTCCTTTCAACTTTATATACCATAGATTATGATGATCCATATACAAAGAGCAGTCATGTACTTTCAGTCTGAATGGCTATTATTTGAGAGTAAGGGAAAACATCTATCAAGAAGGAACAAAAATGAATTATCCATGAAAGAGCAAAGTGTGTCTGCCCTCTGTAGCAAATTGCTTCCAACCTTAACACAGTATGGCAGCTGCTTCCAGCCAACATCTAGAAATGTAAGGGGCAGTTTACAAGACAAAATTGTGACAGTAAGACATCTGCATATTATTATTTATTTATTTATGTGTATTGTGGTAGCACCTAGGAGTTCCAGCTATGGACGGGGGCCCCATTGTGCTAGGCACTATACCAAAATACAGTCCCTTCCCTAAAGAGCTTACATTGTCATCACATGAAAGGATATTCTATCTGCCATACATACCGCTTAAAAAAAAAAGTACTTCATAAAACAAATCTCAGGTTAATATATAGATTTGTTAGATTTTAAGCTGTTTGGGGAGACCTTAGGTGTGATCCACTACCACATTAATGGAGTTACACCAGGGTAATACCAAAGGCACACTGTAATGAATCTGGTCTCACGTTTCCTGTAAAGGATCACACACTTGCATTGTGCTATACAACTAAATCTCAAACAATCCAGGCTGTGTCCTGGAGTTTTACACATTAAATAATGCAGTTTATACACATCATTTACAGCTGCAACCTCTGGGAAATATGCTCATTTTACAGCTTTTTCTCTCTCTTCCCCCCCCC